GGTCATGGTGTATGATCTTTCTGATGTACTGCTGGATCTGATTTGCTAAGATTTTGTTGAGGATTTTGGCATTTATGTTCATAGGGATATTGGCCTGTAATTCTCTTTCATTGTTTTGTCTTTACCTGGTTTTGGTATTAGGGTGATGCTGGCTTCATAAAATGAGCTTGGAAGTGTTCCTTCCTCTTGGATTTTTTATAATAGTCTGAGAAGGATAGGTTCTTCCTTGAATGTTTGGTAAAACTCCCCTGTGAAGCCGTCTGGTCCTGGGCTTTTGTTTGCTGGAAGCTTTTTGATGACTGCTTCAATTTCTTCCATACTAATTGACCTGTTGAGATTTTTAGATTCTTCCTGACTGAGTTTTGGAATGTTGTATTTTTCTAGGAATATGTCCATTTCCTCCAGGTTGCCTAGTTTGTTGGAGTAGAGTTGTCCATAGTATTGTTGAACAATCTTTTGTATTTCTGTGGGGTCTGTTGTTATTTCGCCTCTATCATTTCTGATTTTCTTTATTTGGGTCCTCTCTCTTTGCTTCTTGGTGAGCCTGGCTAGAGGTTCATCAATACTGTTTATCCTTTCAAAGAACCAGGTTTTGGTTTCATTGATTTTATGTATTGTTTTTTTGGTCTCTATGTCATTTACTCCTGCTCTAATCTTTATTATCGCCTTCCTTCTGCTCACTCTGGGCTTTTCTTGTTGCTTCTTTCTAATTCTTTGAGTTGTAGAGTTAGATGATTTACTACCATTTTTTTTTGTTTGTTTTTTGAGATAGGCCTGTAGAGCCATAAACTTCCCTCTCAGGATTGCTTTCATTGTGTCCCATAGGTTTCGGATTGTTGTGTTTTCATTGTCATTAGTTTCCAGGATGTTTTTGATTTCTTCTTTGATCTCATTGGTAACCCAATCAATATTTAATAACATGCTATTCAGCTTCCAAATGTTTGAGTATTTTGGGTTGTTTTTATTGTAGTTTATTTCTAACATTATGCCATCGTCGTCTGAGAAGATGCTTGGTATGATTTCAATCTTCTTGAAGTTGGGGAGACTTTGTTTGTGACCCAATATGTGGTCTATTTTTGAATCTGTCCCATGAGCCCTTAAGTACAATGTATATTCCGTGGCTTTGGGGTGAAGTGTTCTGAAGATGTTAATTAAGTCCATCTGAGTCATTTAGGATTGGTGTTTCTTTCCTGATTGTTTGTCTAGCGGATTTATCCAGTGATGTCAGTGGTGTATTAAAGTCCCCTACTATGATTGTATTGTTGTCGATCTCTCCTTTGATATCTTCCAGGAGTTTTTTTATGTATTTGGGTGCTCCTGCATTGGGTGCATATATTTTATCAGGGTTATATCCTCTTGTTGTATTGATCCCTTTAGTATTATGAAGTGGCCTTCCTTATCTCTTGTTATGGCCTTCACTTTGAGGTCTAGTTTGTCCAATACAAGTATTGCTACCCCAGCTTTTTTTTCATTTCCATTTTCCTAAAAGATGTTTTTCCATCCCTTCACTTTCAGTCTGTGTGAGTCCCTTCTTCTGAGGTGGGTCTCTTGTAGACAGCAAATGTATGGGTCATGTTTTTTTATCCATTCAGCCACTCGATGTCTTTTGGTTGGAGCATTTAGTCCATTTACGTTTAAAGTTATTATTGAAAGGTACTTGTTTTTAGCCATTTCTTTTTGTGTGTGTGGCTGTTTTCTTTCTGAGCTTTTTATTCCTTCTTTTTACACCAGTCCCTTTAGCATTTCTTGCATTGCTGGCTTGATGGTGATAAACTCCCTTAGCCTTTTTTTGTCTGTGAAGCTTCTTATTTCCCCTTCAATTTTGAATGATAGCCTTGCTGGATAGAGTATTCTTGGATTCAGTCCTTTGCTTTGCATCACTTTGTAAATTTCTGTCCATTCTTTTCTGGCCTGATGTGTTTCTGTTGAGAAATCATTTGATAATCTAATGGGAGATCCCTTGAATGTAACTTTCCGTCTCTCTCTTGCAGCCTTTAAGATTCTCTCTTTGTCCTGAACATTTGCCATGGTAATTATGATGTGTCTTGGTGTGGGTCTTTTTGGGTTCACCTTGTTTGGGACTCTCTGGGCTTGTGTGACTTTTTTCTTGCCCACCTCAGGGAAGTTTTCTAATATTATTTCTTCAAATAGGTTTTCTAACCCTTGTTCCTCTTTCTGTTGTTCTGGCACCCCTATTATTCTTATGTTGTTTCGTTTCCTGTTGTCCCATAGCTCCCTTAGGCTCTCCTCCTGTCTTTTAATTTTTTTCTCCAATTGCTGTTCAGTTTCAGTGTGTTTTGTTTCCCTGTCTTCTGATTCACTAATTCGGTCCTCCGCTTCTCCTAGTCTACTGTTGAAACTTTCAGTGGTGTTTTTTATTGCAGCTATATTACTCTTCATTTCTTCTTGGTTCTTACATAAGTTATTGATTTTTTCATCTGTTTCTTCTTGCTTCTTGCATAAGTTGTTGATTTTTTTCCTCCATCCGGTTTATGCACTCTAGGACCCTTAATCTGAATTCTTTTTCTGTCATCTTGCATGCCTCTGTATCACTTACCTGCTTTTCTGGCGAGTCCTCCTTTTCTTTCCTTTGAGGTTTTCTTTGTCTACCCATGTTTGATCATACCACCATATCTAGATGTTGAGTCATTCAGTGGCTGCTCCTTGGGTGGCAATGACTCCTCGGGCTGCGGTTGCTCCTCAGGCGGTTGTGGTAGCGACTGCTCCGCAGTTGGCAGCAGTTCCTTTGGTGGGTGCTGTTCACAGTTGTGGTGGCTCCTCTGGCTGGTGGGGGGAGGCTTCACGCACAGCTGCTGTTCCTCAGTCAGAGGGTGTGGTGATCAGGAGGTTGCTGTTCCTTGGATGGGGGCAGGCTATACAAGCAGCTTTACAATTTTTAAATCTATACTAATAAAAGGCTAGGTGACCCTCGTGCCTTGGTGCAATGCCCTCACATCATCACAATGTGGCCGCCCCTCATCATCACAAGATGGCTGCCGTAAGATGGCCACCACAAGATGGCCGGCAGGGGAGGGCACTTGTGTGCAGGGGAGGGCACTTGTGGGTGATCAAGCCTGATGGGAGGGTATTTGGGGGGGGACCAGGCCTGCAGGATAGGGCAGTTTGTGGGGGGACCAGGCCTGCAGGGGAGAGAAGTTTGGGGGGGGGACCAGGCCTGCAGGGGAGGGAAGTTTGGGGGGACCAGGCCTGCAGGGGATGGCAGTTGGGGGCCATTGGGCTGGCAGGGGTGGGCAGATGGGAACCATCAGGCTGGCAAGGGAGGGTAGTTATAGGCCATTGGGCTGGCAGGGGAGGGCAGTTGGGAGCCATCAGGCTGACAGGGAGCAGTTATGGTGCAGTCAGGCTGGCAGGCAGAAGCAGTTAGGGCCAATTAGGCAGACAGGTGAGCAATTAGGAGCCAGTGTCCCGGATTGTGAGAGAGATGTCAAAGGGGTCCCAGATTAGAGAGGGTGCAGGCTGAGCTGAGGGACACCACCCCCAGTGCACAAATTTTATGCACCGGGCCTCTAGTGTTTAAAATAAAAAAGTTATACAGTGGGGCCTTGACTTACGAGTGTCCCAACTAACGAATTTTTCAAGATATGAGCCATCTCTCAGCCGATTTTTTGCTTTGAGTTGCGAGCTAAAATTCAGGTTACGAGCCAGTTTCAGATACCCCACCGCTAGTTGGCGCAGCGAACATCACAGTGAACGCCACATTAGCCCAGCATCACTTGTCTCACTCATTCACTTTTTGATTTGACAGACGAGTAATTTGAGTTACGAGCTTCGTCATGGAATAAATTAAATTCGTAAGTCAAGGCCCCACTGTAGTAAGTTAAGTTTATTATTAAAGGAAGAAAATAATTGTTATAAATTTAGCATAGCCTAAGTGTATATCATTTATAAAGTCTAAAGGAGTGTACAGTGATATGCTGGGCCTTTACACTTACTCATCACTAACTCATTGACTCACCTAAAGCAACTTCTAGTCCTCCAAGCTCCATTTAATATAGGGCTGTATGTAGGTGCACCATTATGTTACAACTGCCTGCAGCATTCATGCAGCATGCTGTACAGGTTTGTATCCTAGGAGCAGTAGATTCTACCATATAGTAGGCTATACCGTCTAGGTTTGTGCACTCTAATGTTCACACAATGACAGAATTGCTTAGTGACACATTGCTCAGAATATATACATCCCTGTCAATAAGTGATGCATGACTATATAATGAATATAGGCAATAATATTGTACTGTAATGATGTAATGTGATAAATATTGCTACATCATCAATCATTACAATACATAAATGTTTCAAAGTAACATACTTATATCTTAAACTTACACAATGTTACATGTCAAATGTATTCCCTAAAAAAACATATCACTTCACACATACTTGGATGGCTGTAATTTTAAAAATGGAAAGTATTAAAAGTTTGGTGAGGATATGAAGAAATTGTTACTCTCATTTATTTCTGGTAGGAATATAAAATGTTGCACCTGCTGTGAAAAAGTTTAGTGGTTCCTCAAAAAGCAAAACATACAATTACCATATGACCCAGCAACTCTATTCCTGAGTATAAAACCCCAAACTCTAAAACAAGTATTTAAACAAGAGTTTTACAGATATTCTGCATGGCCTACAATAATGGTTAGATATGTCATAAATACCTTTATTTTGCTTTCTTTATTTAATTACTAAGCATTCTTCTCACAAAGGCTCAGCCTTTGACATTTATTATGTAGTAAGGTGATCTCCTGTCAAGACTGGTAAAAAGTAGAGAAAAATTATTGGTAGGCAAACTTGCATATTAATTATAAATATCAGGGAAGATCAAATAATACAAATAGCTTATGAAGACAATTACTACCTCTGCTCCATACTTCTCTGAATCTAACTTAAGTGCACTTTGAATCTGTATTTCTTGACATGTGGTATCATCGTAGACTTTGCATCAGTTTTTAAAGTAAGGCTGTCTCTCTTATTATCCTCAGTGACTAATAACAGTGTCTATAATTTTGGAGAGAATGGGATTGCAAAGTTTTTGATTTCGTTGGCTGTCCTGGGCTTATTTTATCTCCTCTTGCTTTTTTGTCTGGAGACTACATCCTGGAGATTGCAAAACTTTCTCTTTCAAAAAATTGTGTCTAATGTGTACAACATATTCATGAAAGGCAAGAAGGTGAGTAACATAGACTTTTGATACAATTCAAAGAAGGCTCAATGTTAGGCCAGCAAGTATTAATTTGCATATTTCTATCTCTATTATTTGATGAAAGTATCATTTAATTATACCAAGATCTAATGGGTACTAATTGAAATTACAACTCTTTCATCTTAGTTTGTATCTTAGGCTCTAAGCTTTGAATCCTCTACCAACCAGGAAATAATGTATTTGTAATGATAGAAAGCATGTGGACATGTCCTACCTTTAGATGTATTTGGTTGCAGTTATGAAGTGACTTTAAAACCATGTGGGCTTATGGGACATCATAGCCCCTACTAGTCAGATTATTAATTATTGCTGTAAATAACACTCACAATTTCACATAATCCCAGAGTTTTGCCTAGAATTTATATATATTTAATGGTCTGTTGTTCTATAACTTAATCCCTCATGGTTTATATGAGAATTTCTGTTGAGACAGAAAACCGCTACATCTATCTCTTTGTAATTTCTCTTCATTCATCCCAGTTCTCTGTCGGGGTGGCTCTAGATTTTGTCCATAACATTCTCTGAGTCAGCATATCTCTAATATTTCAGAGGGAGGATATCTTGAGACCATAATGGCCTTTGCTACCAACTGGAGTTGTGACTAGTATGATTCGCATTCCACCTGCACTTCAGTTGCCCCTTATGTGTTGCTAACTAATGACTAGAACTATATAACAAATCAAAAGTGCTATTCTACCTACTTTTACACCAAAGCCCATCAGATCTTACTACTGTAAACAGGATACCTGGTCTAAGATATGGCAACAAGAATAAATTTAAGGTTTTGAGCAACATGAAAAAGAAAGGATTTATTTCCTGGTGCCTAGAATTAAACATGTGAATGTTACCTTGAGACTTTTTCCTGCCCTGACTTTCCTAAGCTTGAACAGTAGCCCCTGAACCATGTCACACTTCAGAAGTAAATGTGATAAAAAGAAATATAATGAGTATGGAGGGAGAATTCATGGTAAAATTATAAGAATATTTGGCTTCTAAATGCTTCCCCTTTTTGTCACTACTGCTGAATACAGAAGAAAACATGGCCAAGCAAAGGAGTAATACTTACATTAGACCAAGGCCTCAATCTTCATATAGTTATCTAATAAACTAGTTTGGTTAACCGTGGTATCCTTAAATCAAAATAAACTGAATTTCCTAAGCCAAAGGTTCAATCTCACTTTTTTTAACATTCCAAAATAAGAAAAAGTCACCCCTGTCAATGAGAAGTACAAAATAGTTCATGAACTATAAAAAGTGAACATCTTACATCTTCACTGACAGATGTTTCTTTCCTCCCTGAGAGCACATCACACCACTGCCCTTCAGACCCCACTGTCTCTGTGACAGGGAGACCAGATTTCATGAGGAGCTGGCTGTTCATCTTGTTGATCTTTTTGTGTTTAAACCACTTGGAATTCATTTAAATTATTGGATATATAGATTAATATTTTTCATGAAATTTAAGAAATTTTTGGCCACTATTTCTTCATGTATTTCCATTACTAAAGTAAGGTCATAATAGATCTGTTTCATAGAGTTATTAAGAAGGTTAATTACCTGTGAAGGGCACATAATAAATAATAAATGCTGGGTTTTAGTAGGAGCGTTATTGTTGCTTATTAACATCCTCTTCTTCCACTGCCACAAAACCTCCCAATGTTCCCTATTTTAATAACTAACACCATCAATTATATATTTGTTGAATAGAGAAATCTGAGACTTGTCCTTAACTTCTTTTTTAAGTTTCATCCCTAATCTAATCTATCTAAAATCCATGTACATGTGTTTCACTTTGTTTCGAAAGGACTTCTTGGTACTTTATGCTAGGATCAAACATTTTCTCTGTGGCTGCTATGTATGTCCCAGAAGATCAAAGGGTAGAGTGCACTGTCCAGATCCCCCTTCAGCGGAGTTGGTGCCCCCAGCTTCTTGGGAACTCTGTCTTCAGACCCTTCAGCTGTCATTGTCTTCATGGATGCTTTAGCTGCAGAGATCCTCCTCTCCCAAGGTGATACTCTTCCCAGATGACCTGCATCCAGTCACTCGCAGGTGCAGAAGTAAAATGTTTGCTCATCTCAATGCCACTCAAACAACTTTAGGACTTCCCACTGGGTCAACTGAGGATGTCATTTGACCTTCATCATAGCTTGATTTCTATCCTTTGCCTACTCCTGATTTTTCTCTCCCTTCCACAGGTGTTGGTACCAAAGGAAGTCCACCTGCAACAGTTAGTACCAGGAGAGGTTTGAGAAAATACACAATCACATAGGGTTTTAGTGAGGCCCACATCACTGGTGGTAAAGGAAGAATAATAACCTCTGGCACAAAATAATGGTCCAATTGTAAAACTTTTTATCTGTTCTGAAGTGGGATAACGTACCAGAGGAACAGAAAGCATGTCTGATGCGATAAGTCAAGTATTCTTTAAAAATGGGGGAAATAGCAACTGAAAGAACAATGGGGATATGAGTTATTGGTAAGCTCCTTCCTCCATAGGATGAAAAGCTGAGAGTTATTAGTAGGAAATTGAAAGCCAAGTGTGAGAGTCAAAGAGCCTCTTTGGTAGCATTTCCTGCCATGAAAGGGCAGAGAAAACTGAGTACTCAGATCAAGGTTTAACCTTCAGATTAGATGAGCTCCAGGAAGATCAAACTCTCAACCAAGGCAGATCTGCTCTGCCAAGATCACACCTCTTGTTAGAAGAGCGGTGCCCTAATTCATTAGCTGGAGACATCTGAGTTAATGACCCTGCAACCTTAAATCCGCACACTTCCCTGAACACTGAGTTTAAGAACTCCCACTACCCCCTCAGATAAAAATAAATACAGGGGTCTCTGCTTCAAAACAACGTATGCTCATTCAGTTGTGTTGGTAACCAACCAATTACTCCTTTAGTGATCAATAGAACACAGAGACAGAAAATTATTAATAAAAGAACTGCAAACTAACTAGATCTAACTGGTATTTAGAGAGCATGCACCCAATAAAAGCAGGACACATGGAACATTCACCAAGACACACCATTCACAGTTTTAAGAGATTTAACATAATGAAGAGTATGTTTTCTGATCATCATGAAATTAAACTATGATTTAATAACAGAAATATATGGGAATATCTCTATAAACATTGGGAAATTAAACAACACACTTCTCTCAAACCCATCAGTCAAGATGAAAGTTGCAGAAGAAATTAGAAAATATTTTAAACTAAATGAAAGGAAAATACAACATATCAAAACCTGTGGGGTGCACCGAAAGCAGTGTTACCATGGGCATTTATAGTCTTAAATATTTACATTAGAAATGGAAAAAGGTCTCAGTTTAAAAGTTTGTATCTCAATAAATTAGGAAAAGAAGAGCAAAATAAGCTCAGAGCAAACAGCATTTAAGTTAACAAAACAAGAAAAGGAACTGCAAACAGAAACACAACAGAGAAAAATCTGTGAACACAACCAAAAGCTAATTCTTTGAAAAATGATTAAAAGTGGTAAGCCTCCAGGCAGAGTGACCATAAATTAAAAATAGGTGACACATACTAACCAATGTAAAGGCAAAATGAAAGTGCATAGTTTAAAACCTCCAAAAAAAAAAAAAAAAAAAAAAAGAAAGAAAGAAAGAAAGAAAGAAAGAAAAAGAAAACACCACGTCAGGACAATTTCACTAATAAATTCTACCAAAAGTAGCAGCATCAATTCTTGTAAAGTATACCGTAGGCAATAATATTGTAATAATTTTATATGGTGCCAGGTGGGTACTGGAAATATCAAGGTAATGGTTTGTAAAGTATATGATTGGTTAACCACTCTCCTGTACTCCTAAAACTAACAGAAAATAATATTGAATGTAAACTGTAATTAAAAAATAAATTAAAAAAACAAATAGCATCAATTCTATACAATTTCTTTCAGAGTATAGAAGTAGGAGCTTTTTCCAATTCTATTTATGAAACTATTATTACACTTGATACCAAAATCAGAAAAAGTACAAGAAACTAATATCCCTTATGAACACAGAAACACAAATCCTCAACAAAATATTCACAGATAGAATCCAGGAATACATAGAAAGACTACCATGAACAAGTAGGGTTTATTTCATAAATGTAAAAAAAGCTAGTTTAATATTTGAAAATCAATGTTACCCATGAATTAATAAATGTCAAGAAGAAAAGCCACATGTTTATATCCACATTTCACACTTATATACATAAAAAGTGTCAGAAACTAGGGAAAGAAAGGAGCTATCGCAGCCTGATCGGTGGCATCTGCTTATATATATAAAGCCCACAGCAAACATAATGGCAAAAGATGTCATGAGCACCCTAAGACTGAAAACACAGCAAGGATGTTCACTTAGCACTCTGATACAACCAATTTTAAAATTGGGGAAAAGCAGTCTTCTCATTCTTTGGATTATCCTGTTTACTGGGCTGGATAATATAATGAGTACTTGATGTAAAAGTAGGCAATTCAAATCAACCAATTTTTGCTCAAGCAGTTTGAGTTACTAATCCCAGTGTTACCAGAATGCCGGCCTGTCGCGTGTGGGTTCTTGACTTCATGTAGGGAAGATCTCACACCATGAGTCCGGATGGGTTTGAGAGTGTTTATGAGAGGTAGGGACAGCGACACAAAGGAAGGACTTGGGTAGAAGCAGCGACAGGAGAGAGCCTAGGCGGCGCTCTATTTTAGCTCTCCAGAAATGTTTTAGGAGAGACGTGAGCCTGGGCTGTCAGCTCACTAGGAAGTTGAAGTCACAGTGATGGAAGTGGGCTGGGCAGGGCTGCGTTGGCTCCCTGGGAAGTCAGAGGAAAAGGGGGCCTTGGAGACAGGGCCAGAGAGTGAGCCTGGGTCGAGTTGCTACTGCCCAAGGCTCCCCTGGTTGCGAGTCTCATGGGGACCCTTAGAAAGAAAGTTCACGCCTGAGAAGGGGCATGATCATGTCCTAGAGGGAGTCTTTGTCCTGGCGGCTTGTCCTGGGGGCTTTTTATCCTTTTTTCTTCAGGTGAAAATCTTAGGGGAGGGTTTCAGCAGAATATTCATCAGCGTTCCAGGTGCATTTTTAATATGCTGAGGCATCAAAATAAGTGTGGATGGGAGTTTGGGGTTGTTCTTTGGTCTATTGTACTGTTATCTTAGGTCTGTCTGGCTTTAATGGGGTTTTGTTACTTGTTACCCACTTCCATCTGTCCCTGGCTTGAGCTGGCACACATGGCGTTCATAGTGTCTGTGTCCTCTGTTGTCCCAGGCCAGGGTGAGGTAAGCTAGGTGTTTTCTGGTTATGAAACAGCTGCTCTCCAGCATCCTTGGTGAAGGAAGATTAGGTCTTGCAGTTCACAGACTGGCTGTAAGTTGCCCAAACTGTGGAACCGTATTTAATTTTTTTTTCATTGAATTTTTTTTAATCTTTATTGTTCAGATTATTACAGTTGTTCCTCTTTTTTCCTCCATAGCTCCCCTCCACCCGGTTCTCACCCCACCTTATGCCCTTACCTCCTCCCCCTGTCCTCATCCATAGGTGTACGATTGTTGTCCAGTCTCTTCCCTCCACCTCCACACCCCTTCCCGCCCCCCGAGAATAGTCAGTCCACTCCCTTTCTATGCCCCTGATTCTATTATAATCACCAGTTTATTCTGTTCATCAGATTATTTATTCACTTGATTTTTAGATTCACTTGTTGATAGATATGTATTTGTTGTTCATAATTTGTATCTGTACCTTTTTCTTCTTCCTCTTAAAGGATACCTTTCATCATTTCATTTAATACTGGTTTGGTGGTGATGAACTCCTTTAGCTTTTCCTTATCTGTGAAGCTCTTTATCTGACCTTCAATTCTGAATGATAGCTTTGCTGGATAAAGTAATCTTGGTTGTAGGTCATTGGCATTCATCACTTTGAATATTTCTTGCCACTCCCTTCTGGCCTGCAAAGTTTCTGTTGAGAAATCAGCTGACAGTCGTATGGGTACTCCCTTGTAGGTAGCTGACTGTCTTTCTCTTGCTGCTTTTAAGATTCTCTCTTTTTCTTTTGCCCTTGGCATTTTAATTATGATGTGTCTTGGTGTGGTCCTCTTTGGGGTCCTTCTGTGCTTCCTGGACTTGTAAGTCTATTTCTTTCATCAGGTAGGGGAAGTTTTCTGCCATTTCTTCAAATAGGTTTTCAATATCTTGCTCTCTCTCTTCTTCTGGCACCCCCATAATTCGGCTTTTGGTATGCTTGAAGTTGTCCCAGAGGCTGCTTACACTATCTTCGTATTTTTAGATTCTTTTTTCTTTTTGCTTTTTCAGTTGGGTGTTTTTGGTTCTTTGTATTTCAGATCTTTGACTTGATTCTTGCGATCCTATAGCCTGCTGTTGGAAGTCTGTATAATATTCTTTATTTTAGTCAGTGTATGCTTAATTTCTAGCTGGTCCTTTTTCACAACCTCGAGGGACTCACTAGACTTATTGAGGATTTCATTAAATTTATCGGCGGTCTCACTAGATTTCTTGAGTGTCTCACTAAGTTTATCAGCAGTTTTTAGAAAATTCTTGAAAAACCTTATAAGTGTGGTTTTGAACTCTATATCCAGTAGTTTGCTTTCCTCCATTTCTGTCATTTGTGTCCTGTTTCTTTGTCTTGGCATTTTTTATGCTTCACTGTGTCGATAGAGTGGCTTTCTTTGCTAAGTGTCCTATAGGGCCCAGTGGCTCAGCCTCCCCAATTACCTGAGGTAGACACTCTTGGTGCACCCTTTTTGGGCTTTGTGCACAGTCTTGTTGTAGTTAAGCCTTAATTGTTGTAGGTAACACTGGGAGGGATTGACCTCCAGGCCAATTGGCTGTGAGAATCAGCTGTTTCTGCAGTGGGAGAACTGGCTCCTGGATATCTAAGGAGGTGCTAATCTAGCCTCTGCCTGAGGCTACTCAGCAGAGGCCAGCTGTGAAGCAATGCAAGTTGCCCTGGGGCGTTGGGCCAGCTGCAGTTTGTTAAGTAATTTTCAGATTACAAAGGGTCAGGCCTTTCATATGCAAAAGCCTCAGTGCACTGGCTTGGGTGGGGCAGGGTCCCAGGGGATCAACAGGGTGGTGGGAGCAGTTATAGCTGCTCTCAGTCCTGCCCTCAGAGGCCCCGGCAATTGCTGCGAGCACCTCCGAGAGAAAGCTGCCCTCGAGTTCCAACTGATGCCAGACAGTCCCGCTTCTCCCGTATGATTCTGGGTCCCCAGAGACTCACCCAGAACTGAAGCTCAGAGCTTGAGACTCCCTCCCAATTGAAAAAGACAACTGTATCCTCAGCCACCAGCCCTCTCCGCATGCACCTCCGCACCTTTGTATTTTACTTCCGCACCGCACCTCCTCTTAGTCTCGATATGCTTTTCTCTTTCCTTCTAGTTGTAGAATTTCCACTCAGCCAGCCTTCCTGTGGCTCTGGATGATGTCTGTTCTGTCTTTTAGTTGTATTTTTGAATTTGTTGTGGGAGGCAGCAATTTCCGGTGTTTACCTATGCCACCATCTTGGTTTCTCTGGTGGCCTTTCTTCTTATCCCCACTTGTGTTCACGCTCTCAATAGTCCTTCATATTCAATTCAGCCTTCCCTCAAAAAGAAAGAGGCCATTTTCTCCTCTCTCAGTTCACATTGTCTCATGAACATATTTTAGTTGTAACAAATGGTACTTAGACAATAACAGTATTGATGTGGCTTTTGCTTTCCATGATGTGTCCATTTTACTGACAAGAACATGCTGCTTCCTCACAGTGGTAGAAAAACTTGTTCATTCTATAGTTTCCAAAAGTAAGCAAGTCAAGAATAAACTTTCATAAGAATTTAGGAAATTGGTAGGAAGGCTTTTGAAAATTAGTCCAATATTTTCTGACATCTTTGAAATTACTCCTTCAGGTCAGCTTTCAAAATCTCACTCAGTTTATACAAGATCTCTAACATGTATTCACATCTGTGGTCCTTGTTTTGAAAATATAGGCTAAAGAGTCCATGCATGAAATCAACGAATATGTGGATGAAAATGTAGAAAATGAAAGGAAGAAAGTCTTGGCACAGTCTCCTAAATTGAAGAATAGCCCACTGCTTCTCAAAGAACTTGTGAAGGTAAAGTCGTACAGTGACAATATTTCCCTGAGCTTTGTCCCTGCCAAGGATGTATTGGACGAATTCATTGGGCTGCTGTGGGGTCTGTGCATATCCTAGTAAAACAGATGGCTGGAAGGCAGAGTGCTCCTGAGAAACTGTCCACAGGTAACAGTTATAATTGTGGGTGACCCACAATCGGTGCTTCAGTACATTGTGATTTTTTAATGTTTTCAGACTTATTATAAGTATCCAGCTGTAAAGGCTGTAAGAAATGTTTCCCTTGTCGTAAAAAATTCTGAATGCTTTGGATTATTTGGATTAAATGGAGCTGGAAAAACCACTATATTGAAAATGTTAACTGGAGATGAGACCATAAGCTCTGGAGTTGTATTAATTGATGGCATTAGCCTCATTGAAAATATCAGAAAGGTAAGTGTGTTCCTAATCACTGAGTTTTGCCCCAAGGGAGGAGGTAACCAGGCAGGTGGGCGGGAGACATGGAAGGGAAGCTGGGAGAATTCAGATATATAAGATGAAAGATAGATAAATGCTAGATAGATAATAGGTACATAGATAGGATAGAGATAGATGGAGATAGAGGTGTGAAGTGATATCTTGTGGTTTTTATTTGCATTTCCCTGATTAGTGATGTTGAGTACCTTTTTGTGTACCTGTTGGCCACCTATGCATTGTTTTTTGAAAAATGTTTATTCAGATCCTCTGCCCAATTTTCATTCAGATTGTCTGGGAAGAGGTTGCTATTAGGTTGTATGAGTTCTTTAAAGATTTTAAATATTAACTTTTTATCAGATATGTGACTTGGAAATATTTTCTCCCACTTAGTAGATTGCTTGCTTGCTTGCTTGCTTGCTTGCTTGCTTTCTTTCTTTCTTTCTTCCTTGCTTTCTTTCTTTCTTTCTTCTCCCTTTCACTTTATTGATGACTTCCTTTTCCTTTGCTGTGCAGAAGTTGATGTAGTTCAACTTGTTTGTTTTTGTATTCTTTATATATACAAAGATATACATAATATATATCTTATCATTCTTTTCTGTGGGAAGATTAGCCTGACAGAAGTTACTTGGCCAATGTTGGAAGTGAAGTTCTATACATTGTCTTAATGGACTTAATAGAATGGCTTTGCCTAATGATATCTGAATAGGCAACTTCCTCTAACAAAAATCTCTACACAATAGATGTTTGTTGAAAATTTCAGTTAGGAATGTTAGTATGACATTTTACACAGTGAGTTGCTGCTGTAAATATTCTTTAGACTAGAACTCTGTGGGTATCAAAGCTTCTTCACAGCATGGGCTTAGGGTTTTTTAGCTCATCTATGTGAATTGTATGCTCAATGGAACAGTTGACTTGGATCTTTTGCTTATTATTACCATCTTGATTCAGGTTAGGTCAAGAATTGGCTATTGTCCTCAATCTAACCCTTTGCTTAACCACCTGACGGGCCGGGAATTGCTGATCATGTATGCCAGGCTGCAGGGGGTCCCTGAGCCAAATATCTGCAAGTATGTAGAAATCTTTTTGCTTTCAATGCACCTAGAAAACCATGCTGACAAGTTTGTCTACACATACAGGTGAGATATTATTCTGCCTGCCTGTGTTTCTAGTGTTTAGAAAGAATGCCTGCTAACACAAACTGATCCCTCTGTCACACAGAGGCAATGACTATGAATAGCCTCATGTCTTGTCAGGGTTCTAATGTAAGGAATAAGGCAGATAAAGTTAACCTTTTGTAGAGATGGGCTATAGCCTTTGCATTTAAAAAAGAACACCTGCATCCTTATCTCCCTATGGTTCTTTATCTCCCAAAACAAAAATATTACAGCAATAATGATGCTGAAATAAATTACCAAAAATGTCATTTCAATGAAAATGAGTTACTATATACACCTGGATTTGGGCCTGCTACTTTGTGGTTCATATCAAATCAGCATTCTGGATATGTGAGCTAATTCTGTCCTGGAAATTAATGACTTGTGTACCCTTATTTTTCTCTTTCTCCTCCACTTTTCTCTCTCTTTTGACGATAAAGTAAAGAAAACAAACGTAAATTGAGTACTGTCGTTGCCCTAATGGGAAAGTCCTCAGTTGTCTTCCTGGATGAGCCAGCTGCTGGCATGGACGCCATTGCCAGGCGCCTGCTCTGGGACACAGTAACATGGCTGTGTAAAGCTGGCAAGACTGTCATCATAACTTCCCACAGGTATGACCTACTGGGGCGTTTGGTTGAGCATTAGGAGAGTATAGGAGGGAATTAGTTGGAGCCGGGAATATAAGTCAATGAACTTATCTAAGTATATGAGCTACATACATAAGAGGAGCTGTGGGTAGAGGCTAATTTGGGCTAAAGTCAAGAATCCTAAATTGAGTTCTGAAATCCAGAAGCAACAGAAAATAGGAAGTAAGGTCTTTCTACCATGGATTTAGAAATCAACTGCTTTCAATTTTTAAAATCTTCTCTTCCCAAATATGGTCTTAGTGGTGATGTTCTGCAACACCAAGCTTTCCTACTGCAAATATTACCGTATGGTCTTAGCTCTGCTTTGAAATACTGCCCTTATCCTCTGAAAGAGAGTCTCTTCAGCCAAATCTTCTTTGTCCCCTAGCATGGGAGAATGTGAGGCCCTTTGTTCCAGGCTGGCAATCATGGTAGAGGGGAAGTTCAAGTGCCTCGACAGTCCTCAGCAACTCAAGAACAAGTTTAGTGATATATACACTCTGACAGTAAAGATTAAGATTGATAAGAATGAAAATAAGCAAAAGGAGTTCAAAGAATTCATTGCAACAACATTCCCAGGTAATATAGGTAGGGCTTACTTGTTACAGCTGTGTTAAGTCATATCCTATGTAAAAAAAAGCCTAATAGGCTAAGTGTTCAGTCATCCAGTCGGCCGTTCAACCAAAGCATAATATGCTAATGATATGCTAAGGCACTCAACTGCTCGCTATGACATGCACTGAACACCAGGAAGCAGACAGTCTACCGGTCGACCAGTTGCTATGATGTGCACTGACCACTAGCGGACAGATGCTCCAACTGGTAGGTTAGCTTGCTGCTGGTGTCCAGCCAATCAGGACTGAGTGAGATGGGCTGGACATGCCCTGGAGCCCTCTTGCAGTCCCTCCCCAGCTGGCCAACCTCCCATGTTCTTCCCCGGCCTCAACTGTGCACTAGTGGGGTCCCTCAGCCTGGCCTGCGCCTTCTCACAATCTGGGCTGAGGGACCCTCCCCCTCCAAGTGCACGAATTTTGTGCACTGGGCCTCTAGTATATAATAAAAATAAATGAAGTACAGCTTTACACAATATGAATGAGAGAAAACATAAAATTAATGCAAACTATGTTTTTGCATTTATATGAAGTACAAAAGTGCAAAACCAAACTATAGGCTTCAGGGTTCCATATTTAGGTAATCTACACTAATAAAAAACATGCAAATTGACCATACCTTTGCTATGCCTTAAGCCACGCCCACCAGCCAATCAGAGCAACTATATGCAAATTAACCCAACCAAGATGGCGGCCAGCAGCCACAGAGCTGGAGAAAGCAGGAGGTTTGGTTGCCCCAATGATGGAAGAAGCCAAGCTTCCCGCCTCTGAGCTCCACTCAAAGCAACAAAGTTTCAATTATAGAAGGTAAATAAACCCCAGAATTAAAAAAGAGAGAGAGAGGGAGAGAGAGGCTGGGAACTTCCATCACCGGGGGGCTTGGCCAGCCTGAAAATGGCCCTCAGCCCCTCACCCAGACTGGCCAGGCACCCCAGTGGGGACCCCCCACCCTAAAGGGGGTGTGGCCAGCCTGAAAACAGCCATCAGCCCTCACCCAGGCTGGCCAGGCACCTCAGTGGGGACCCCCACCCTGATCCAGGACACCCTTCAGGGCAAACCAGCCGGCCCCCACCCAGGTCTCTATCCTATATAATAAAAGGGTAATATGCAAACTGACCCTAACAGCAGAACGACTGGGAATGACTGGTCACTATGACACACACTGACCACCAGGGCCCAGACGCTCAATGCAGAAGCTGCCCCCTGGTGGTCAGTGTACTCCCACAGGGGGAGCTCTGCTCAGCCACTAGCCAGGCTGACTGCTGCCAGTACAGCAGTGGTGGTGGGAGCCTCTCCTGCCTCCTCAGCAACGCTAAGGATATCCGACTGCAGCTTAGGCCTGTTCCTCGCTGGCAAGTGGACATCACCCGAGGGCTGGACATCCCCCACTCCCTGGGGGATCGGGCCTAAGCCAGCAGGTGGACTTCCTCTGAGGGGTTCCAGACTGCAAAAGGGCATAGGCCGGGCTGAGGGACGCCCCCCACCCCGAGTGCACAAATTTTTGTGCACTGGGCCTCTAGTCTATATATATAAAAGGCTAATATGCTAAGTGTTTCTCCTACCATCTGACTGGTCACTATGATGCACACTGACCACCAGGGGGCAGACACTCAACCCAGGAGATGCCATGTCAGGCACTGGCTGGCAAACCAACACTTGTCTTCCCCCAAGAGGGACACAGGCCCTGCCACCACCCCAGAACAACACCCCACCAAATCACAGCCAATGCTGCCAAGACCCCATGGCACAAAATGCAGCCCACAACCCATTCCAGTCTGGAAACTGTCGCTGTGGGCTCCAGGTAATGACGTCACAGAGCAACACCCAGTTTCCTCTCCCTAGCAACTAGCTTCCTTGCAGTTTCTTCAGCCCAGGAACATAGATGGAAACATTTTACACTTTAACCAAATGTCTATGAAGCGTTTTCCAAAGGCCTCATAGCATTTGATCCTCACAGAAGTCCTGGAGTAGGTAGATAGGAGACTCGGTGGAATCCTATTTTTTTGTCTCATTAGCCAGGAAACAGAGATTTAGAAAGCTTAGAAACTTGACCTGACTGAAAAGAAGTAAGAAATGGTGGACCTTAAAAATGACTTCAGGTTTTCTCACTGTGCAGAATAGAGTCAAACACTGCTGCAGTTAAATATTTCACCCTTTGTTCTTCCTGTGTCATCTACAATAATAATCTGCTTCGTGTTGATATTTACTGCTGTGTTGCTGACAATTACCTGAATGAGAAGTTGAGGTGCTTCACTGGGCTGGAAAAAGTTTAGCTACATCAGAAAGCAGGTCTAATTAAGCAAATTTATTCTATAAATATAAAAGGCTAAGTTGACTCGTGCATGCGCAATACATAAAAAGCTCTCACTGGTGCCAGTTGCACCCATGTGTTTCCATCTGTCATTGTGGATCATGAATTTGGTTGGCGCTTCTATTATAGAGAAAGGGTGAATAGTGATATTAAAATATTTCTTCTAATTAATTTCCTTTTGATGTGCATGAATTCATGCATTGGGCCACTAGTAAATTTATAAAGAATAGCAAATAAATGCTTACCATAAAAATCAAGATAGTTTCTTTAAGGGGGAGGAAGTGAGTCTTGCTAGTGGCATATAGGTGACTTTTAGAATTCTAGGTGTTGATGACATAACTTTATTATAATTCACTACACTGTATATTTATGTTCCATACACTCTTTATATGTTTGATATATATCACAATTTTAAACATTTTTTAAATTTTTACTAGAGGCTAGTAAAAAAAATGCTACATACTATTATTGACATATAGCTTATTTATTTTAAATATTTTAACTTCAATGAGTATCACTTGCAATAATCGCCAACTGTGTTGTAATAAATATAAAGTCACACTATCAACAAGGAATGGCTACCTACAATATTACTACCATATTTTCAAAAGCTATAATAGCTCCTTGCTCCAGTGAGTGCCTTCACATTTGTGTTTTATATACATGAATTATATCTTTCCTTTAGAATGAAGGTTGCGTCATCATGAGAATAGTATAGAGATGTTCTGTGCCAGCATAGCCAAGGGTGAACCTGAGGGGGCGGATGGGGGGCGCGGGGCAGTGAAAAGACAGGCAAGAGAATGAAAGCTGGTTCTCAGTGGGACGCTGCTTCTTTGGCGGAGAGACAGCGACAGCGCCCGCAAGCCAAGTCTTTATTTTATAGCCAGATTCCACAAGGTAAAGTAAGGGCGTGGTCAGGGTGTTAAACAATGTTCTAATCCACTCAATTACATGCACCTGAACTCTATCAAGCCCACATCACTAAGTTACGTGGGACCACAGGTTCGGACCATAAGGTCAAGGTTACAACTATAGCCTTTGGCTATCAATGGGCTGGGAGGGCTCTGCCCTCCAAGCTGGGACTTGCATGTGGCTTTGCCACGAGTGGACTGTGCCCTCTCATTAGTCCGAGGCTTGAACCTGTCCAAACACTGTAGCTGCTCTCCACATACAGATCCTAACACACACACACACACACACACACACACACACACACACACACACACAACTGGGAAAAGAAACCACGCCACAATTTTATGAGTATAGTTTCAGGACAATGTCTAGAAACGGTTCCACACAAAATTAGGATTCATATACATCAGGTTTGGCAAAGTGAGCATGTGAGCTCAATTTTTCAGTGCCTAAAAGTGACTATCCCAACTCTACAATTTTTACTAACTACAGGCAATAAAGCCATATTTCACCACATGGCTGTAAAGCTAGTGAAACACTTAATATATACTTAACACATGCTAAAAAGAAAGGGCTTTGGAATTCTTATCTTTTGTATAACTTGCATGTGATATCTCTTCCATTGGTGTGGACAATTGGAATGGGAATCATTGGGGAATGTTGTAAAACATCAAATATGGAGCCCTCCCTGTTACTTACCTTTCAAATCTTTCTTAGGTAACATTGTAAACCAGGAGTGTCGAGGAATTATTTACTACCACATTCCCAGAAATGAAATCTGCTGGGGAAAGGTGATTATTAAAATCATACCAATATGACATTGTGTGCTAATAGAGGACTGGCAAGGAGTGTGAGGATTCAGGCCTGCGGAATGGGGACTGGCATTGTTAGAGATGGAAAATCTAACTTACTTTTCAGTGTCCTCTGTGGTAGGACTAAGACTTCTGGCCTAAATGCTATTATCCCATACCTATCAGAATAAGATGGAGAACTGCCTCCTCTTCTCTCGGTTTTCCAACCATCTTTTCCTTCTACTTTCTAACTTCCCCCTTCTGTATTTTTTTGCCTAAAGTATAAACCTAGCAGGAGTGAGGGGATGATTGAGTGAGGGGGAGGAAAAGGTTCATCTGGGGATATTGCAATGATAACACCACCATTTTTTCTGTTAAAGGTGTTTAATATTTTGGAAGAAGCTAAAGTGCTATTCAATTTAGAAGACTATTCTATCAGTCATATAACACTGGAACAAGTCTTTCTGGCCATTGCTAATGTTGATAAAATGGAAAGTGATCAAGGAGTAAAGCTGCTATAAAATTCAGTTCCAATAAGTGACCTTTATGTATTTCTTAAACTGCTGCCTGCAACTAAGTACATAGAGGTACCTTTCTCATCTCTTTTTTCTTTTTTCTCCTCCTCCTCCCCCTCCTCTTCTTCTCCCTCTCCCCACATTCTCTGATGCCCCCTCTCTCTCTGTATGTGTGTAGAGAAATTGAATGCCCCAAAAAGAGAGTTTGCAATCTTTGGAGATGAAGATAAGTGACCTGTTGTCAATATTGAACTGTGATGGGCCTGAGATCTTACTCTACTTGCAAGTTATCAGATTAGCTTACCAACGGTTCAGGAACACTGGCAGAGGGCATGGGATTCTGAGTCCAACACACGGGACTTTATTACTCACAGCAATAGCAGCAGTCTGAGATCATATCTGTGCCAGTTCCCCAATCTCTAATTTTCACAAGACAACACAAAGAAAGCCAGGTGATGCCTGTAAATTCAGTGGGTGGTGTTATAAGAGAGGAACCATGAGCTTATAAGCCTGAATCTCTTATAATGGGCTGTAACTAAACCTATCGAGCTTTGCTCTAGAAAGAAACATTTTGACTGTACGGAACAAAGAAACATTCTGACTGTATTGAACATTAAGTAAATCTTCCCTCGGCCTCTTTTCAAAGGCCGTTTGCTCTACAATCATCCTTCTTAAAACAGCCTGAGACAGGGAGGCGGTTAGCCTTCTGTGTGCAAGTAATGCAGAGATGCAAGAGACCTATGAGAATGTCTCCCAGAAATACCCACTCTAGTTTCCATACCATACACCCCCCTCTTCCCTCATCGACTTTTAGGTTTATTTTCATTTCATTCATTTTAGGTAGGAGAGACACCAAGTCCTCCTTAGCAAAGACTAATGATTTAAACTAAAGAAAAAAATATATATAAACTAACTTAATTTCCACGGTATATGGAGGTAATAAACCTAAGAGCATAAATTTACCAAGAAGGGGTGGGTGGTCCTAACTGGTGTAGAGGGATGCAGAGGGCTTGGCTGGGGGAAGCTTGAAGCAACACGCACAAGGACTCACATTCGGCACTTTCTTTTACCCCATTTTGCCCTGCTTGGGGCTCTTGCCCCTCCCAGCGATGTTCCTGTTGTTCTCATTATAGGTTTCATGATTAATAGCCTTCAATTTCCAGTAAGCCGCCTCACTCAGATTCCAGTGGACCGCCTGCACCCGGCCCCCACCTATACCTGGTCTCCACCTATACCTGGTCTCCACCTGCACCTGGTCCCCACCCACACCTGGTCCCCACCCGCACCTGGTCCCCACCCACACCTGGTCCCCACCTGCACCTGGTCCCCACCCACACCTGGTCCCCACCTGCACCTGGTCCCCACCTACACCTGGTCCCCACCTGCACCCGGTCCCCACCTACACCCGGTCCCCACCTGCACCCGGTCCCCACCTACACCCGGTCCCCACCTGCACCCGGTCCCCACCTGCACCTGGTCCTCACCTGCACCCGGCCCCCACCTAGACCTGGTCCCCAATTACACCTGGTCTCCACCTGCACCTGGCCCCCACCTGCACCTGGTCCCCGCCTGCACCCGGCCCCCACCTATACCTGGTCTCCACCTGCACCTGGTCCCCACCTGCACCTGGTCCCCACCCACACCTGGTCCCCACCTGCACCCGGTCCCCACCTACACCTGGTCCCCACCTGCACCCGGTCCCCACCTACACCCGGTCCCCACCTGCACCCGGTCCCCACCTGCACCTGGACCCCCACCTACACCCGGTCCCCACCTGCACCTGGTCCTCACCTGCACCCAGCCCCCACCTAGACCTGGTCCCCAATTACACCTGGTCTCCACCTGCACCTGGCCCCCACCTACACCTGGTCCCCACCTGCACCTGGTCCCCACCTGCACCTGGACCCCCACCTACACCTGGTCCCCACCTGCACCTGGATCCCCACCTACAGCTGGTCCCCACCTGCACCTGGACCCCCACCTACACCTGGTCCCCAATTACACCTGGTCCCCACCTGCACCTGGACCCCACCTACACCTGGTCCCCACCTACACCTGGTCCCCACCTACACCTGGTCCCCACCCACACCTGTCTCCACCTGCACCTGGTCCCCACCTGCACCTGGACACCACCTGCACCCGGTCCCCACCTGCACCTGGCCCCCACCTGCACCCGTTCCCACCTGCACCCGGCCCCCACCTGCACCCGTTCCCACCTGCACCCGGCCCCCACCTACACCTGGTCCTCACCTACACCTGGTCCCCACTTGCACCTGGTCTTACCTGCTACTCTGACTGACCCTTACAAGGACATAAATATCCCATTCCCCCTACTCTGCCCCTCTGGTGCCATTTTGGTCTTAACTCTTCTGCTAGCAGATATAACAATAAATTTATAATTCTTTACCTCTTTTGGCCTCATGTGTTGCTCCTTCAGCGGCCCTAACATTTGGTGCCAAAATCCAGGAGGGTTCCACAGGGAAGGGGAGCCATCACCCTGGCTGCAGTCACCCCAAGTTTGCTACTCTGAGAGCAGTAGGCAGCTGCAGCTCGACCTGAGTTTATCGCCGAATCCTCCTCAGGGGACTCGATCGCTGGCCTCGCTCTCGCCTCCCTCCCTTTCTGGCCCTCCCAAACCAGCTAAGGAGGATGCTGGATTAGGGACCTGTCCTTCCCATTGCTGACCCGGAGGCCTCTGATCTGTCCTACCTCGACGCTTCAGATTATTCAATTTTTCATTTCCCTAGGGGTCCCCTGAACTCACCTTCTTATGTCCCTCCTTCGACTGCCCCCCTGTCTTCAGACTCTACCTCTTCATCCACCCCTTCCTTATTGAGCCCCCCTCTTGTTTGTTCCCATGCAACTCAGCCTCCAGCCCTTGTCTTTCCCTTCCAAGAGGTGGCCAGGGCCGAGGGTATTGTCCAGGTACACATCCCATTTTCCCTGTCCAACCTCGCACAGATTGAGGCATCTTTTACCAGGGAAGTTGAGTACCTGACCCAAGTCCTATGACCTGACCTGGCATGACCTCTATGTCATCTCATCCTCCTCTCTCACCCCAGAGGAGAAGGAGCACATCTGGCCAAGTCCTGCCCAAACCCAAGACCCCCCACCTGAGCCCTGCCCAAGGTGTAGAAGGGATGGCTACTAGAAGTCAGACTGCATTCTGGCCACTCCATGTTGGCCCTCCACAGACAGGACACGGTGGCTAACTCGGTTGGCACTGACACAGTTCCTCAAACTGACCCGATGTGGGACTATCAGGTCAATTCTCTAGGGCGCCGGCTCCATAGCCATATGATCATCTGCTTCATTGCTGGACTCAAAAAAGCTGCCCATAGACAGACAACTATGACCAACTTAACGAGATCATTCAAGGCCCTGAGGAAAACGCAGCTCTCTTCCTCTCCTTCCTCACAAAGGCCTTACAGAAATATACCCAATATACCCCTTAAGCCCCACCTCCCCAGAGGGAACCCACCTTCTGAACATGCATTTTATATCCCAGTCAACCCCTGACACACAACATAAACTCTGAAATATAGACACAGGTCCACAGACCCCTCAAAAAGACCTCCTTAACCTAGCCCTTAAGGTCTTTAATAATAAAGATGAGGAGACACAAATCCAAAAACAAAGGTGACATTAGGCCAAGGCTGAGGCCCAGAAGGAGGCCTTTCAGCTCCTAGCCACCACTCTCATGAACCCCAAATGAAGTGCCAGTCCTCCAACCAAGGGTAAGTCAGGGGCCAAGCCTTCTCCAGGCCCATGCTTCAAATGCAGCAAGGAAGGACACTGAGCCAAGTCCTGCCCAAACCTCTAGATCTGGTTCAGGGCTCCCAGAAAACCTGGAACTATCCACCAAAGACTGAGGCTGCCCAGACCCTGACAAGGCCCCACAGACTTACATCACTGAGCTAGAGCCTTGGGTAACAATTGTGGCGGGTGAGCCGATCTCCTTTTTAATTGACACTGGGGCCACTTATTCTGCCTTTCCCAAACTGGCTGGGACCCTTGTCCCTTTCTCAGCCTCTATTATGGGGGTTGACAGTTAGTCTCATAGCCATTAGCCACCTCACCTCTATACTGTATCTAACTAGACACCCCCTTTATCCACTCTTTTCTTGTTCTACCGCACATCCCCTCATAAAGCCCACTTGTCCTGAACCACAGTCATCTACCTCAGTTTCACTCTCACCCCACAAAAATGAGCCATTACCTTGAACCATAAATGCTTTATCTCCTCCATTACTGTCCCCTCCTCTAACTTTTGTTACAGAAAATCTATAAAGTAGATTTGGAAATGTTAATGTAATATCTTGTGCTTTGTTGAAGGTGTGTTTTTTGAAAGTGAGAGTGTTCATAAATGTCAATCTAAGAAATGCTAAATGTCTACTTTTTGGTTAAATGCTGGTTACTTACTTTTTTTATTATCATTTGAAAATTAAGGTTTCTAAGAGTTAACAATTCTAATTAAATTGTAAAAGAATTGTATGGTTTTAGTAATAGAAGGCCTGAGGCATGGACATGCATTTTGAAAGAAAAAGAAAGTGATTTAAAATTGTAAGAAGATTCATGAAGTTGTAAGAAGGCTTGTTAAAATTGTCAAAACGTTTGTGAATGTTATAGAAGGTCTGTAGGGAGAAGTGTCAAAAAAAGTTATATAAATGACATAGGCCAGTAAGTCAGAACAAGCAGGATAGGGAAACTGAGAGAGTTAAACAGCAGTTTGCAGCTATCTAGTAAATCATATCTCCCCTAAACCAAGGACAATTAAGAGTAACTAATTTGCACTATTCCTCCCCAGCCAGAGGGTAAATAGCTTACATCAATGTACTCAGGGAGACAGCAGAAATCCAATTAGGGCTATTTGCTGACCACACCCAAGGACAAATGAAGTTAAGAGAATAAACCTCATCCTATCTAATAAAAGAGAAACATGGTAATTAGCCATACATCCGCTATCCTTCCCATTGGCTAATCAGGGCGATATGCAAATTAACTGC